TTACTGTCTTTCGGTATTGGTATTATAATAACCTTTCTCCACATACTTGGTAATAATGCCGTGTCAAATATGAAATTGGACAGTGATGTTAGTAAATTAATAATAGTTTCATTTTTCAAAATTTCACTGGGGATATTATCTACTCCCGTAGCTTTCTTTTGCTTTGCCTTAGCTACTGCTGCGCTATATATAACCTCTAGTTTTTCAATAGTGCCATTTATGCTGTAAATAGGATTAAACAAGGGGTCAGACATTACACCCTCCATAGTTCTTCTACAGTATATGCCTTCTATATGTACATGAATAAACAAGGTTTTTTGCAGCATTATGATTCAACGCCCGTTTTGAATATCTTTCCCAGCTGTTCATACAGAAAAACAGTTCCCATCATTGAAATTCTAACAAGGTCAAACTATTTAAGGACCTTTGATCCCGGCACCTCCCACCTCACCTGACAGGTGCGAAAGCCCGGAGGATCTCACTGAGTGGGACATGTGTCTTAAATAGCACTGAAGTGTGCAGCAACGATTAATATAATGCTCAAAAATGGACGTAATGATAAGATTTTGGTGATGATCCATCAACTAATTAAATAATAAATCATTACCATTGAGACACAAGCAGTGCTACCTGTTTTTACAAACGTTCTTATATCTGTCATTTGCTTGGCCAAAGGGAAGACAACATGAGACACAAGTGTTGATCATCACGTGCTTTAGATATGGAGGTGAGCTTTGGTAAATTAAAATGATACCTGGTGATATGATATCTAGCAAAACAAACTTAATAAAATGGGTGGTAGCTTGCCTGAACAGAAGCAAAGTCCAGGACTTTAGCTTTTAAAATTAAAGAAGACGAAAGCCTCACCGGCGGGTCAAAAGCAGATACTTGTAGTAATGTTGTAGGCGAGGAATTCCCAAAATTTCTGAACAAATAATGCTCCTACTTATGATGACGTTACCTAATCAGGTGATCATCAAATGCAATTTTTGTTACATGCATCTGACAGATCAGCTGTCAAATCTCATTAACTCTCATGATAACTGTACAACAAAAACTGTGATATGAAGAAAAGTGTGATCATGCGTCGAACATATGTAGGCCTATGTAGGCCGTGTGTAGTGACCTGCGAGGCTAGTCTGATATGGATATAATTATACAGCACAATGCATATCTCTTAACTATACAAATATTTTGTAAGTTACTTTCATGCTACAAGTACGGTAGACGATAACTGAACTTTCAGCCATATGTATCGTAGAGCCTGTATATTTAATTTTTTTAAATTGAAATTATCAATTTGCTTATAATTTACTAAATATACAAATTGCTTGCAATTCATGCACTTTCATTTTCACCTTTGGCGTTCCATCTTTTCTTGGACCGTTGTTTTTAACCTTGTCTTCCATAAAGTTACCTCAGCATTATTAAAACTCTTACCTCTGACGTTAACTGTTCTTCAAGTCATGAGTGCTGTTATAACTTCTAAAATCGTTCCTTGAGCTATTTGAAATCATGTAGGACAGGACACCAGAGAAAAACTGCACGGCAATTTGTGGGAGGAATCCTTTCAAAACGAGGCTGTGACCTTTGATCGAACGTTTGCTCGATAAATTACCACAGTTTGGCAAAACGGGATTGGCAGTGATAAGTCAGTTTACAATAAGTGCATTAAAAATTGGAAGGCATTACATCAAATACGTACATGTACTGTATATATCAATGTGGGAGGATTTTAGTGCTAGTTGAGCGTTTAACCATATTGGATGGAAAATTGATAATGACCAGAAAGCGCAAAATGAAAAAAAATGGTAGAGTGAGTGCTTGGTTGTGTGTATTTTTAATGCACCGTCTAATATTTTGTTTTTGAAAGAATATTTAGAAGAATTGGTAACAAACTTTGCAAGCGCCGGATGTACCCGGTACTCCCGTGTGTCTAAAAGTGTTGCCTAGAAAGGGGGGGGGGGGGGGGGGGGCCGGGGCGTTCGAGCATATGTGAGGGCAAACAGACTGAAGAGCACGTGCTTTAACTTGTGCAAGATAGGTGGGATTAGAAATAACATATCGCAGTTTCACTTTGGAAACCTTGTTTTAAATATGTGAAAGACATCTCTTAGTGAATGAGGTTATGTCAAGAAGCAGTATCATAAAACAAGGTCGAATGATACGTTTGCTTTTGGTTAAATCCCTATATATAGAAAGAGAAAAAAAGGGACAAAGTTAGTCTTTTTTTGGCATGTTTAATACAGCCCTGACAGCCGTTTCAGCCCGGAGGCCTGATAAGGGGCGCAAACAATCTGTGCTAATTATTGACTCCTCATGCATGGTTCATTGTCTAATTAACCCAATTATCGCTTGGGCAATCATTCAACGTGTATCAAAACGCACTAAATCTTTTACTTTATCGGCAAAACCAGGATTTTGCTGGGAGGGGGTTATAAAGCAGTAGACGAGGGCATTTGTCTTATAATATGTACTTGGATAAGGCACATGAATGAAATGATGCTCGTTTTGTGACATTTGTCTTATTTCTATGATTTGAGAAGGACCAAGGGTGGAATAAGAGCACCTCCGAAACTAAGAAAATGTTTTTTTTGCTTTTGTTTCATTCATACGAAGCTTTAAAAGGTGTATGCAGAAAGAAAAAATCATCGTTCGCACGCAATAATTATTACGTTCGAACTAGGTCTTTGCGGGGGAATGCAATAATTATGGTGTTCGAAGCCAATATTTTGCTCCAAGATGGTTCGGCCTCGTTTTATCTCTACGAACGTAAAAATTATTTTACTGTCGCAAAAATTGTGTTTGAACGAAAAATATTTTGTGGCGAAAGCATCAGCTATGAATAGAAAACGCTAATATTTGCCCCACGGTTCGTACCCAAGGTTGTTTTTTCAGTCAGTAGATGTGTCCGGACCATTACTGCGAGCGGTCGCTTTGTGTCGCATGTGGTGAATCATGGTGCGGGCCCCAAATTTTTTTTTGTGTGTGTTTTGGAGGGCAAACGGTGCCATTTAGTAAGCTTTAGAACTATGATCCAGCTAGGCTCATCTTGAGGGCAGCCAGAGGGCGCTGCGGTAGACGATCGATGAGAATAGTTACACGATCGACGAGATTAGACGATCGATGAGAATAGTTACACGATCGACGAGATTAGTTGGACGATCGACGAGATTAGACGATCGACGAGAATAGTTACACGATCGACGAAAATAGTGACAGCATTGGTTTTAATACACCGTAGATGAGAAATGTTTGACAGTTGAATTGACGAAAGTAGATGTTGAATTTATGACAGGATCGTTTAAACTTGAAACTGAATCGATGGGAAGGCAGTGAATCGACGAAACATCACTGAATCGACGACAGGATTTTTGCCCTTTTGGCCGCCCATACACTACCTCGTTTTGAAAGCAGGACTCCCAAAAGCCATGTTTTTTTTCTGGTGTCCTAAATTACATTTTTTCAAGTGACTCAAGATATAGAACACCAAATCTGCAACAGCACACCTGTCGAAAAGGAACGGTTATCGTCTGAGGTAAGAGTTGTTACAACACTAGAATGATTTTTTCCGGAGATAAAAAACGATGGAACAAGAAAAGATAGGGCATGAAAAGCGAAAATGAAACTGACTTGCTAAAATTATTTCCCGGACATCTGTAGTGTAGTATCTGTATTTTTGTTTCTCATCACATTAAGGTTGTACAATTGGCAGGACAGTGACTGATATTCGAGATCGGATCAATTATAGATGGTATATTGGGTAAGAGACGTTAGATCTGAAGGCCTGACTGACTGTGTGACGTCATCATAACAATGGGCGTTTCTCGGAAAGCTTTGCTTAATGGTGAAATAGTGCTAAAAACGACCCAAGTAGAAAAGTAATTATACACCTTAACATTTTTACCTTATCTATCCTATCGATAAGGAGCCATTTTGAAAACGGGCAGGCCAGCTGCCTTCCAAGAGACAATGCAATTTTCTCGTGGCCAGTTATTTATCGTTTAAAGCAAGAAAGAGAGAATACATAGACTATAATAGCGCATCTAACTCAAGGAAGAGTTAACGTCTGAAGTAAGAGTAAATTGCTACAATGCTATGGTGGCTTTAAGGAAAACAAAATATGTACCACGAAAAGATGTTACGCCAAAGGCGAAAATGAAAGTGAATAACGTGTAATGCTGTAAAGAAGAATAGGCGATTCACAAATAAAGTAAATAATAAGCAAATTAGTGATTTTAATTTTGAGAAATAAAATAAAATCTATCACTGTACATGCATGTATAACATTAGGTTCAGTTATCGTCTAAGCTAGGGGAAATGAAGGTGACTTACAAAAGAGGTTTTATTTAGAAAAAAATTTGTTGTTGTATATAACCCAAACCAGACTTTCTGCGCAGGTACTGTAACTATGTACATATTGCCTACATACATGAAGGGCTACATGATATGTTCGAAACATGACCAATTTGTTTCACATCACAGTTTTTGTTGTATATTTAACGTGAGAATTAGTGAGATAAGATCGTAGTATGTTACATGCATGTAACAGAATTTTGATCTGAAGATCATTCTGACTAGGTGACGTCATCATACGTAGGAGCAATGTTCAGAAGGTTTAGACATTCCTCGCCTACAACATTTACATTACCACAAGCACGTGATTTTGCACCCGCCGATGAGTCTTTCACCTTGTTTAATTTGGAAAGGTGACTGGACTTTGCTCCTCAGGCGAGTGATTTGACAAAAATTCACCATAATCTGTCAATCATTTTATAATGGTTGCCTTGCTAGATAGCATATCATGGGGTGTCATTCTGATATACCAAAGGTCATGCATGTGACATGCAGGTCCCATGTGACGATCTACAGATCTACAGCGGCTTTCTATTGACAAAGTCGGACATCAGGATTTATGAGATAAATAAATGCACTAACAAGTTTCATTATTTAATCTTGTTAACATGCAGCGCATGCAGTTATTTTAAACATACATCTGTACGGACTGAGCTTTATAACTACAAGTACAGATATAACAGATCCCATATAAGTAACTTATTACTCAACTCTCATTCACCATGAGTTTCATAAAAAGTGTTCAATTAAGTTCTGAAACTCCATCTATACGTGCAACTATTAATATAAGTTGGCCTCGTAATTTCCATTCAGCATTTGCAAGGGTTGGAAATAACGATGCCCACATACGTATTTTCATTCATCATTCATCCATCATTCATCCATCATTCATTCGCCCTCCCCCTGGTTGACACGATATTTAATACTAGATAGAGGAGATGCAAATAAGAAAATCTTTGACATAGGAAAAATAACAATTTTAAATGTCCAGTTTGCTCCATTCTGAGATTCTGAACTTAGTGAACGATTGAGTCTGACAAAAAACTCTGATATGAGTTTATTTCCATTTTTGTCACTTTATTACACAATGCATGATAACAGGTTTACCATCATTTTATTTAATCAACTAACAATAATGTAAAGATGCAGAAAATGTAAAACAGCACTTTTACGTATCTAATAAGTTCAATAATGAAACTGTTAACATGCCTAAGGATAAAGGAAAACCACTTATACACAAAAAAGTATCATTTCATTAAAACTTAAAGTCATAATAACTCTTCGTTTTGGCCAAAAATTGGATTTTCCTGGAAAAAACGGCAATTTTCCCGTACTTACCAATGGTCAACGACCCCGTTCCTGCATTCAAAGTTAATCCAGGGTTTTTTCCTAAACGTACGGTTTTTTGTTAAAATCTCTTAAGAGATTTTAACTGACGGAGCTCTCTCTGACATTGCATCGTCACTGGTGACCTACTTAAAACCGCGGGAAGAGCAGACAACAACAACACTATATAAGATTCATGAGATATATTGGTCTTTTTGTTAAAAATGCATTTATATCCACAATGTGTGCCATTCTGGGCTTTTCGTTATCCGACGCACTGTACAAAAACTCGCAACTTACGTCTGCGTCTGCATCAATGCGTTTGGCGCCATGTCATTTTGGTCTCGAATGAACGCGAGAATCCGCGTGACACCCTTAAGTCATTACCAACGGATACCTTGACGACCGGGAAGAAAGGCACCGAAAGCCCTATTGACAAGTGCAGATTTTAGTTTTACTACAATAACGGCCGTTTTAGTGGTAAAATACAACAGAATATATTTCCATGCGTTGTTTACAATGTATTTCTTGCGGAATTTTGAATCTCAAAGGAAGAGTTATTATTGCTTTAACCGATCAAGCTTATTTTCGAACTTGATCTATATACAGACATGACATTTAATATGGAATATTTCAGTTTCGAAGGTATACCTTGGTAAAAATCCTTAAAAAAAACGATCTCATATAAGATATGTGAATGGAGAAGTGTGTAGTCACGTGTGTCTCTTCCAAATTACTCAATACCAGGTTTGTTGCGTTGCTGCATTATGTAATATGCAATGATTTAATTGGGTAGTGCTCCTTTGGCCAGGTCAAAGCTTGGCTTTGGCAAAGCATGGATCTGTCAAAAAAGTATCCATATGTCGGCAACTACTGCATAGAAGAATTTGAAATATTGCATGCAAGTGGTTGGTTTTGCAGTGTGTAAAATGAGCCAAGCAGTGCTTTACACAATTATAAATTTGTGGCAGAATGGTGCGAAAAAGACAGACATTGCCAGACAGATTATTGCGCTAGACGAAACGGTCAGTAGAGTTTTAAAGAGTAATGCCCAGACTAATGTACATACACAGAGGCCACACCCAATGTACTGAAATCACACCACCGGGGTACAGGACCCACTGTCTTTTGGAATATGCTGTTGCAACTTAACAAATTCCATCCAGTCCGTTCAGAATGAGGGGTAAATTGCCACTAAAACGCATTTTTCATGGTTATTAGCGAACACCAAACTGGTTTTAGCAGGTTAGAATACTAAACGACCTCCGAGGAACCCACTGTAAACAGCAAAACATCGTTGTATGTTTTTCTAATGAATTGAGGACCTTGATCGTTTCTGGGTTGAACACTGAAACATCGTGGCTTTCTTTATTGAGGTCAGATTTCACCTTTACCGCTCAACTAGTCAAAACAGAGTTTACATACATCCAGAAGAGGCCCACGACGAAGCGTGTGCCGCGTCTAAAGTGACTAAGGCCATTAACAGCGTCAGTATTTGGAGGTGAGACCACATTAGTGCCAAAACACCAATGGTAGTCATCGGCGAAAACCTGAACCAGATCAAATAAAGGAATAATCTGGGAGCCACTTGACTATCATTTGATAGGGGGCACCTCAGGAACAATTTTAGGTTGCACGGTGAGATTGCCGATTCACACAGAGCACTTTTAATTGCAGATTACTTACAGAACCAAGGGAATGAGCAGCTACCTTGGTTATCAAAATCGCCATATTTGAACCACATAGACAATATGTGGGTAGGCCATTACTCGCCGAATCAATGGCCTACATGTCCTACAACAAAACTGGACCACATTGGATAGATTTCGACCCATGCCTGGAATTTATCCCAGATTGAACTCTAAAAACCTATCCCTAGGAATGCCTTGCCTGAGGGCATGAGGGTCCTTTGTGGAGCGTGTAACTCTTTCACAAACAATAATTTGGAAACTATGGAGATCCAAAATATCTCTTTTAATGGTTGTCGTATGACGTAGACTAGGCAATGTGCTTTTCTTTGCTTCTCTGGCGAATTCCATTAATGAACTGATGTCACAATGGCATCAAAGAAATAATTAAAAGTTATTAAAACACGATTTTAATCCTTATTTTCATATATCAGTCAGCAAAATAGGAAATAACTGATGAAAATAGATTTGGAAAAAGATATTCCATATTAAATGTCAAGTCTGTATTAGTAAGATTGATCACTCCTGTGGGTTGCAAGACAATATAGGTTGGTCGGTTTTCCTTGAAATGTTATATCCATATTATATTATGAAAAAGCGAAAAACAGCATAACCTTTGTAAAATGGCCCGACCATACTGATTTTTGAACTTGACCTGCGCATTATGAATATTCATCAGTTCTGTAAGTTTCAAGCCAAAAGGAAAAACAGTTTTCCTTTAATCGTGTTATCGGTGAGAGTGCACGGCGACGACGACGGTGACGACAGACTCAGGTGACGGCTGTATGTGCAGACACTGTGTCTGTACGTAAAAAGGGGCAAAAGAGAACCACTACATCTCTTTTAAATTTCTTCCTGGCTTGAAGCACAGCAATTTTAGGCCCCATATTGTATTTTGAGTTATATGACTTGAGAATGAAAATTTTAACTTAGATAAGAATTTTACAAAGATATTCTAATATTATATCAATTAAATCAATCAAACGCTGAAAGTAACTATGACCTTTGGTATTACAATATTTTATCTTTGGCATGAGCAGAACATTTTTACATAAAATCGAGAAGGCTCTTATTCTTGAATAAAACAAGATGCAGCAAAATAAATAAATAAATAAATAAATAAATAAATAAATAATACCATTTTACTTATTTTCTCAGTTCAAAAATATGATTCAGTATCAATACCAGAAAAAATTGATAATGGCATTTCTGTTCGCGTACAAATGTTATGCATAGTATCAGCATGACTTGCTGATGCTATGCATAACATTTGTACGATAAGATAAGATATATGGAATTAAGGGGTGGTGTTACACTCTTGACACGTATTCGCTTTAAGGGGTGGTGTTACACTCTTGACACGTATTCGCTCCATTGCTAGCATGGATAACAAAAGAGGTTGGAACAGCTAAATGAAATGAATACCAAATTTAATATCATAAAAAAATAACAATACAAATAACGATTAAAACATTGGCTAGAGAGGGCTGTTGAGAGGTGACCGTTGCTGTCGAGAGCCGTTGAGAGATGAACTCTGCTGTCGAGGATGCTGCGAGATGACCGCTTCTGTTGAGGGCCGCTGAGAGATGGACTCAACTATAGTTGGATGTTGCATGGCTGCATGAGGTGATGTCGGCTTAGCACAATTACCCAGGCACATCTACCGCAATACAGAAGTGATGGTAACTACAAAGTGACCAGCTCAGCACAAGCAGCATTTTCCGTATTTATTTTTTCCAAGTGAAACAAGTTGGAGTAAACAAAAGTGTTTATGTAATTCAAATGTAAAAATAATCTGTCCTGATGGTATAAGAGTGACAAATATCTTTATAATCGAGCTGCCACTTCCATAGGCCTAAAGTCGAACCTTGCAATGTTCTATCCCGTAAACTTCTGTTACAGAAATGAAAAGTAAAATTAAATTACTTCCAAAACCTCGAACACTTTTCGATGTGGCCTCCAATTTGCGAGGGAAAATAAAAAAGCCATGAACCAACAGATTTACTTTTTTTGCTTCTTTATAGAACATTTATCCCGTCAGATGAACACAGTAGGATTATAAGTACATCTCAGCATTTCGTAACTTCTCTTTAAAAATACAAAATAGTCGCCAAAACATACAACAGCGAGTAAAGAAAAGCTGCGAAATCACCCTGTTTCTGGTATTATTAGTCTCATATAAACCATGTCCTTCTTTTAAATTTCTGTCCATGCGAATCACACCAGCTCCATGTCAAGCCATCAACATGATGCAACAAACAGATTTTGAAATATCCCAGCTAGAGGAATAAAACACGTTCCCAAAAGAATGCAATAATTATCCTACCAGCAAATGTTCACTTAACTTGAATGTTGTAAAAATCTGAAAAATGGTCTGTACTTTGAAGGCACACAATGAAAGTAAGTAATCCCATTCGTTTCAAGAGTGAACTGGGCCATTCAGAATAGATCCGATAATCAACTGGTCCAAGGATCAAATATGGCGGACCCTACATGAAAGGAAGACCGCTTAATCCTGTAATGGTCTCTCCGCCTCTCACACGCCTCCCCATGCGTCCGGTCGAATGGAGCCGAGGTTTAATTACTGTGCCCCTGCAGGGATGACGCTTGGGGAGGCGCGTGAGAAGTGAAGAGACCAATACAAGATTAAGCGGTCTTCCTTTCATGTAAGGTCCGCCATATTTGATCCTTGGGGTAGTTGATACTCGGTTCTTTCATTCTGAATGGCCCCAATGTGGGAATAACAATTATATATTAACTTTTAAATCATTTTCAACCGTAATTGTTGCGTAGCTCCGCGGGATATGTAGACACAGGAATAAAGAAATGAAATGTTCACTCTTCTACATATAATGTGATATAATTTGTCACAAAACTGGCTTGAAATATTGGTAAAGCTACACAAAACACAATATCTATTTTTTCAGATTTCAGAGGCAACCTGAGCAGCAACGGGATATTCATGGAAACGGACCGACTCCTAAGAGACGTTTATACAGTAAGTTCTATTAAGATGTTTTAAAATAGACATTTCACAAGTTTCACTAAAAGATTCATATCTATTAACAAGCAATCGGTGTGTACTCCAATACTACAAATATTGTTTGTCCATCTTTTAGTCCTTGAATTTAGAAGCTTACAAGCGTTAGCTCTACACATAACTTTTAAGAACTTAGAATTTGCTTACGTAATTCAAATTGTGTCTATCAATCATGTAAAAAGTACTGAAACTTTAAAAATTCAGAGATGGACACTGAGGTACTATATAGCCGAGGTAATACAGAAAACGAATACTTTCAACGACCCAAGAAACACAAAATAATCCCTGCAGAAGAAAATGAACAAGTAAAGAGGATACACCTTGACAACCAGGTAAATATTAACACATAACTTGAATAAAAATAATATTTACTTTAAATTATATTTGCTTCAGGGTATATGCTTTTTAACATGGTCGTTTCTGAGCTGTTTCGCTTTCATCACTAGTGTTGTTTTGTAAAACTTTGCTGGGTGTCATACTGGGCCGGTGAGACCGGAATTCAGGTCATCTTCTCCTATATGGACCTCGGTGTCCAGTAACTGTAGCCAGTATTTCTGCCATAAATATGGGTAAAATTTTTATTCCTGGCGGACTTGAATCCTGTTGACATAAGTCAGTGTAATGAAGGTTCACTCTTTTTATCATGTCCGACCCATTATACATGAAATAGCAACGTAAATACTACTGTCAGCAATGTATATGCATTTATTGTCGTTTAACGGTTCAACGATGACCTGTCTTAGGAGGAAGGGCATTTGAGAGTTATACAGACGGTGAACAGATCTTGTGAGAAGGGGAAAGATCATTCGAGGTCGATCAGCGCTGCTGTACAGACACTGGTTCTCCACTTTATTCCTTATAAAATTATTTTGTATAAAGACAGTTGTATGAAAAAATTGGTTTTCTTAGGTGTTGTAAAGTTATCTGATTTATATAAGTAAGAACTGTACCAGAATTGGAATTGGAATTGGACTGTGCGGGAGATCTAACTCTTATGACTGGTGACGGAGCAAAGGCTTTATGTGAGGCACATCGACTCCTTGCTAATTATTAATAAATAATGTTGATGTTTGAAGATGAAGTGGTTTTAGTCGTTGAGAGTAATTAGACGATAAATAATTTATATACGTTTAAGCATTAACGAATTAGAATATAACATTTTTAGTAAGCACATGCAATTGCTTCATACAATCACCGATTTGCCCACTCTTTGGCATGGTTGTTATAGGCGTTGCAATTCTGTACTTGTGTGATGTATACAGAACTACGTTGGTTAACACTTCCAGAAAGTATTGATGTATACTAGATGTGATTTTGCCTTCATTTTTTATGCTTCTGTCATGTTTGATTGGACTTCTTATTTTGGTACGTTGAAAATTTGTGTGATCCCTTTACGCCCCCCGCCAATACTCCCCCGCATTGATACTTCCCCGCACCGCTACTGCCCATACCGATCCAGCATACGGCTTTCCCCAAAATCGACATGCAACAATCGCTTAGTTGAAATTTTCTTCATGCGCACAGGCTTTCTAATTTGGATATAAATACAAACGAACATTAGGCGAAATGACTTACCTTTTAGAGCAAATTATGTCTGATCTACTGGCCTCTCTCCCTGTATCCGACATTGGACCAAGAACCATGGCACACTACATTCCATGTGTTGCTGTACTGAAGCAGTTATTCTCTTGTTTACCTTTATTTAGGACTCAACGGAGGATCGAAATGCTATAGCCATTGTCGGCGTAGGGTGTCGTTTTCCCGGCGCAGATAATTTAGACGATTTTTGGAAAGTGTTGTGCAATGGCGAAAATCACGTGGTGGACATCCCCAAAGATCGTTGGGATAATGACCTGTACTATGATTCTGATCGGCTCTCGACCGGGAAGACATGCATCAAAAAGGCTGGATTCATCAAAAAGTAACTTAACTTTACAAAAGCAGTGACTTATAATTAATTGCTATGCTGTTTGTGTCAGTTACATGTTCTCATAATTATATGTACATGTGAACTAGCTGTATTTCTCAAACGAAATAATAAAAGCATAATATCTTTACGTTACTACTTTGCTTTCTCATTCCACAAAATTGGATACGAAAGTTGCATTTTATCTTTCTAACATCATTTCATATGCAGTATTTTAATCCAAATCTTAGCCTAAATCTGGGCCCTAGATGTCTTCAATCCTTTTTCCAGTTATGAGTGGTTTGACAATGACGTGTACGGCATAAATGATGAAGAAGCAAAACGCATGGACCCCCAGCAGAGATGGGTTCTGGACTGCTGCTATATGGCACTTGAAAATGCTGGGATTCCGCTTGAAACCGTCCGTGATAGCAACACAGGCGTATACATAGGTATAATACAAATTATATATCACGCTTTTTTCCATCCACCTGTTTTATAAACACCCGGATGCATGGATCTTTAAAGTTGGAATTGTAATAAATCTTGCTCATATAGCATAATAACAATGTTCAATCATGTAATCAAAAATTTAAGTCAATTCTGTAGGCAATAATGTTTATCCATTGCTATAGTTTGTACATAGCCAATCCGAGCAGCCGCTGAAGTACATGTATGTGGAACGCTTTGAAACGTGCGTTTTGAATAATGACCAAACGAAACCAAGTAAACATTTGACATCTCCCTAAACTATTTAGGTAGCATGAACGATGATTTCAAGGACCTCATGCAAGATCCTGAAACCATGAACGAATACTCAGTGACTGGAGCGTCAAGCAGCATCCTATCAGCCAGGGTTTCGTATGTCTTTGGCCTTCGAGGCCCCTCCATGACCATAGACACTGCCTGTTCCTCGTCACTAGTTGCCATAAATGCGGCTTCAAATGCTTTACAAAACGGTAGGGTACATGCAGTATACGCACAGTGTGGGAAAATTATACATAAATGACGGAGTATATGATTACGATGTTAGATATTATGATACATGTATATGAGTATATGATATACGTATATGACGTATGAGTTTTTTTTTGAAAACGTACATATATCAGAATGGTTCATATATCCATTGTGCATTTAAATTATATTTTGTTATGAAGATTTATATACGCACTTATGAATTGAAATTGTTTGTATACATACTTTCAACTAAAAGCTGTTTTTAAATATCCATATTTGTACGTAACTAATTTACGCATCAAATCTAATGCAAATTTGGAAAGCTCTCAAAAAGTAGATGGCCGCGTGTACCTTTACCATGTTCTACCATTCATTACACTACAACAAATACTGCATGGGAGTACACAAGAACCTCCTCGTCCCCCAACACATACTCACACCAACACAGTTGAACCATAATATTTACATTAAAGGAGACTGCGACATGGTGTTGTGTGGAGGAGTTAGCTGCATTTTGAACCCGTACGCTCATATTGCACTTAGCAAGTCAGGAATGGTGTCCCCGACAGGCCAATGTAAGGCGTTTACCGCCGAAGCTGACGGATATGCCCGCGGAGAGGGATGTGGGATTGTAGTGTTAAAAAGACTGAAAGACGTAAGTGAAATGTTCAGTTATAATGGCATATCCAGTTTCAGTATATATCATCAAGCAGCATTATAAAAGTCGGCTGTGGCACAGGATAAAGCATGTGCCCCCTCCCCCAATAAAGTTTGGCGCTAAACGGATCTGGTATTTTCTGTCTTTGAATTCTTTTTATGTCTGGTATTTATAGACATTGTTTCATATTACCCAAAAAATTATATTCAAACAAATTTTGCTTGCTTTTTGTGTTGTATGTATTTGGGGCAGATAAGAAGTTAATTCACATAAGAAGTCCAAATTCAACCAAATATTTGAAAGAGTACATTTATGGCTGATTGAGTGATTTTTTCCCTTGGCATGTCTTCTTTATTTGAGTTACATCGGAAACTATAATGGAAGTGGTTTATATGCGTTTTTGGGAATCCACACTCCAACGACATTCGGTTCAGGGGTGTTATGTCATTTTGTGTATTTTCACCAGGCTCTGGAGAACAATGATAATATTTGGGCCCTGGTGTCATCGGTCGTGAATCAAGACGGTTCCACCGCGCACCCGATGACCAGCCCCTCAAAAGATCAACAAATGGCATTATTCAGAAAGTTAAAAGACAGACAAAGCATTGACCCCGATGATGTACAGTATGTTGAGGCTCATGGTAAGTGGTGTTCATTCATCCTGCTTATTAAAAAACGGCCACTGTTATATCTTTTATTGACTATACTTGATGCTCTCAAAACGATGATAACATTTTTAAATGGATACTTGATTTTTTCTGAACGGCTACACCACCACAATTCACTTAAAATTTTGCTTCCTACGCACCTGTTAGTACGTTCAAAGGACCCCATCCACTTGCATATGTTTGGGATTTTATATATACGAAATCTTCCGCTTCTTGGTGATCAATATGTATGTAAATCCAAAGCTACATGTTATATACATCGCCAGGTAAACACATTTTTTTCAGGAACAGGCACCCAGGTTGGAGATTTCACCGAGGCTAATTCAATAGGCCAGTTTTTTGAACGAGGTAAGAGACAATTGCCCAGTATAACTATAGGCTCCGTGAAGACAAACATAGGTCACCTTGAATCAGCTGCTGGAGTGGCAGGGCTGATCAAAGTTCTTCTCATGATGAAACATGGTCTTTTTGTGCCCTCCTTACACTTCAAAGATGGCAAACCCAATCCAAAAATACCATTTAAAGACCTTGGCTTGAGAGTTTCAACAGAAATGACATCATGGAATTTCCCAAATGACCAAAGACGAATGGCATTTGTTAACTCTTTTGGATTCGGAGGAACAAATGCTGCCGCTCTCGTGAAGCAATTTGAATTACCTGAAGCACCCAGCACCTGTAATGAATTAGCTTTTGTTGCCAAGGACTCTGATCCACCCCTAAATACCCCTGGTACCGAGGTTTGCAAACAAAATGGATCTTCGTCAGCCATTGGATTAGGTATCACAGGCGCCTCAATTCCCCATAAGGTGATTTGCATCTCTGCCAACTCGGTGGGTTCCCTGAGACGCTCTGCAAATGAAATCATAGATGATATTACCAACAAATGCTTGACAGATCAGGACCTTGACATGCTAATGTATACGTCTACATGCAGAAGGACGCACCATCGTGTTCGGCTCGCAACAGTCACCACTTCTGTTAAAGACCTTCGGGACAAGCTCTCATCATGCTTAAAACGACAGTTTCATGTTGAAAGAAAGAAGGTGCGGGTCATATACTTATTCTCTGGCGTTGCAACAACATGGAAGGGAATGTGTCACCAGCTGCTGATGTTCGACAAAGTCTTTTCAGCAAAAATGTCAGAGATTGACAAGATTCTAACCCCCAAGACAGGTTGGTCTGTCTTGAATAAATTAGTTGATCAGGAAGATGTGTCTGATCCAGAAGTCGAACCAATAGTGATATTTGCTTGTCAGGTTTGTCTCGTCGCATTGTGGCGCCACTGGGGCATTGAACCGCATGCTGTTGTTGGTCAGTCTGTTGGTGAAGTGGCAGCTTTCTACTGCGCAGGTGTCATGTCCTTGGAAGAGGCAGCACATATAATTTGCACACGCACAAAACATGTGTCAAAAGCGGGAAAAGGTCAAATGATGGTAGTAGAGAATTTTGCTACTGAAAAACTTAAGCCTCTTTTACAAAATAAGTTCAATGGGGCAGTCGAAATTTCCATTTTCAATAGTCTCATGTCAAATACAGTGTCTGGTAGTCCCGAGCATATAAGAACTTTGAAAGAAATTCTCGGGGAACAACATTATACTGCTGTGAATACCATCGACTTGCCTGTTCATATTGCCTATCATTCTCAACACATGGAAGCTGCTGGCCAAAACATTGCGTTTGAACTTAAGGATATGACATTGGGAACGGCTCACAAAGACATGCGCAATACGCAAAATATTGCATTATACTCAACGGTAACGGGAAGATGCTTGGAAACAGATGATCACGTCCCTAGTTCATACTGGAGAGAGAATGTCAGATGCCCTGTTTTGATGAGTGAGGCCATTGGAGCTGCGCTTCAGGAGGAATGCACCAACGTTGTGTTGGAGATTGGTCCAAGACCAGTTTTTGGACGTTTCATTGATCAGTTTGAAAATGCTAATGGCCTTGTTGTGCTTCAATCTATGAAGAAGGGACTGAGTGCAGAGCCCCTTCTTCTTTCATTAGCTGAGATGTACGAAAAAGGGGTGAATCCATTGTGGAACAAAATCGTTTCTATTCCAGTGGCTTTACGACAAAAGCCTAGACATCATTTTGACTCAAAAGCAAATATCATCCACACGCGTACTGCAAGGGAGCGTCAATATGGAATGCACCACTCTTCCCACCCGTACATAAGACGAATGCCAGGCCCCTCTCCAGAATACGTGGCAACCATAAATAAAAAATCAACCCCTTTTATTTATGACCATGTTATGGTAGGAGCCGGAATTGTGGTTCCTGCCGCATTTTATGTAGACGTGGCTCTCACTGCAGTATCCGAGCTCTCAAACAGGCCCCCTGCATTTTTCTTGCTTCAGATTAATTTTTTGGAACCATTGTTTGTCAGCCGTGACAGTGAGCTGGATGTTCATGTAGTTTTTGAGTTTGATGAGGCACATAAAATAGGAAAAGATGTTTATCCTGTTGCAATCAAGGACAATAAGAAAACATTTGCTGAAGGAAAAATTGTTAGGAAAGATGACATACCGAAAAGGACCATGCTTGATATATGTGATATTGAAAGCAGATGCACAACAAATTTGCCTGTTGACCAGATTTACGATGGACTGCATAACGCTGGGTTTCATTATGGATCATCAATGAAATGTATCACTGACTTTTTAGTGGCCAGAGATGAATGCATCTCAGCATTTGAAATCCCCCAGCATATCATTGAAGATATGTACCGCACTTCAATCCACCCTTCAGTTCTAGATTCAGTCATGCAAACTGTAGGGGTGCTCTGCTCAGATCCATTGAATGACCAAAGACAAGTAACCAAAATAATCCCAGTTAGCATTGGCAGCATATCAGTGCTTCAAAAGCCCTCCACAACCATGAAAGCCTACTGTCGAATGATGTGCCACAGATTGGGTAAAGCCCATTTCAACTGCTCCCTTTTGTCAGTGAATGGGGATGTCATTGCTGAATTGCGGAACTGTGTGATGAAATTGTTTGGCAAGAACACACCAGAGAATTTCCTTGGTCACCTTACCTGGGACAAGGTAAATTCAGACAGGCCTTATGCAAAACACCAGAGTAAAGGCATAGTTTTTATCGACAGGAACAGTGCAGTGGCGTGGATGGAAGGTGGGCTAAGTTTTCCAGAATGCAGTGAAGAGGAGGAGCTCAAAAACTGGATGGAAAGAAACCTTTCAAGTCATCTGCAACATTCAAAATACATAGTGTATGCTTGGGGAGCAAAAACAACCAGCGATGAAGAAATGGACACACAGGAAATGTTTGAGGGATGTCAGAGAGCATGCACAGGTTTGCGTCTTCTCATGAAGATTCTCATTGAAATGCAAATTACGATCCCCGTCATCGTCCTTACAGTTTCATGCCAAAGCATCAGTTTCCAAGATTTTCAGGGAACACCTCATTTTAGCCCATTTGGTGCCCAGCTATGGGGAATGGTGAGATGCTTCTTAAAAGAGGAGACATATGAAAAGATAAGTCTCGTTGATCTCTTTTCTGGATCCCCTGTTGAGACAGAAACACTCAGGTGCTACCTCGAAGATCCTGATTCCTTCGTAGAAAACCACCCTGAAATTGTGATTAAAGAAGACAGTGTGTACAAACCATCTCTAACCAAGGCAATGACGGATCTCAACTATGCCAGATATCGAAAAAATGTGGCTGAAGAAGGATGTCCTGTGAGACTTGTCTCCAGTGATCCAAATGGTTACAGTGAACTGCGATTCCAGCACCAAGCCAGATGCAACAATGAGCCCATTGACCCAGGTGATGTTAAAGTGGACGTTCATCATGCATTCCTTCATCAGATCAAAGGTACCCCTGCAACCATCTCAGAATATGATAATCCTTGTCATCTTCGGTATATGTCCCAGTCAGGCGACCATGGCGTCATTTCATACACTTTGGTTGGTAAAGTTGCAGATGACAACAGGAAATCAGATCTTTCGAATGGTGATGAGATTTTCACTTGTTGTCTTTCCCCAGTTGAGTCCTTTGTCCATGTGCCAAAAGAATGTGTGGTTTTGTCCAGACTCATTCCACGGGATGTGGTCCCAATATTCCCTGTTGTCCACCTTGCCAAACAGATTTTAGATTGGTGTATCAAACATGCGTTCCCTGGGAGCCAGTGTCTGATACTGGTACACAATGATGATAATTCGCCTTTGGTTCAGGTCTTGACAGACATGGCCCGTGTTGCAAAATTTAATATAGAAAGCCTGTCCAAACATGCCTTATCCAAGAGCGTCGGCCTGCAGTCATGTCAGACAGTTCTGGTTATGACTGAGATCACCCGGTCTGAAATTGTCCAGTTAGGGAAAGTATTCAGCCAAGCACAATGTCTTCTATTCTTTGAAGAATTTATTCAGAGCAACAAATACCGGGCTCTTCAAAGATCTTTTCCAAATGCCCAGAAGAAGAGATTCTCAATTTATGATCAGTTGTTAATGCATCAGTTAAGGGCAAAGGTACCAATGACAGTGGAGTGGCTTTGTACTTACAGTGCAGACCTAGCACTGAACTACGAACTGAAGCAATTTGTGCTGACGAATCAGTCACCAAATATGCGTTTTGAATTTGGAAATGAAACTGTGGCAAATACAAGAATGGATATCTGCAAAGATACCCATGCAATTTACATCATTTCAATACCACAATCTGGAGATGTGTTTGCCCCCAAGAACAGACTGTTTCGTTCTGATTCTTGCTATGTGGTAATTGGAGGCCTGACAGGCCTAGGTCGGCTAATCACTGAGTGTTTAGCCAAACACAAAGCTGGTGTCATTGCAACAATATCTCGTTCTGATCCAACTGCAGATCAGTTACGTGAGAGACGAGATCTTGAAATCAAACACCAAGTTACGATTTTCCACGAGCAAGCTGATGTTTCCAATTACACTTCAATTTCCTGTGCTTTTGAAAGACTTGCACAACGCAAAATCCCAATTAAAGGCATTTTTCATGGCGCTGCTGTTTTGGCCGATGGTGCCTTTGTAAATCAAAATCAAGACACATTTGAAAGAGCGATAGCTCCCAAAATCAAGGGTTCCTGGAACTTACACAAGCTATCCATCAACCTTCATCTCGACTACTTTGTGATGCATTCCTCAGTCGCATCTCTGCTGGGAAACCCAGGCCAAACAAACTACGGAGCTGGCAATGCATTCATGGACAGCCTTGCTCACTATAGAAGGCAGCACCATCTGCCTGCACAGTCCATCAACTGGGGCGCTCTGAACTTAGGCCTTCTAAATCAGAACCCAAATACAGAGCAGAGACTAAGAAAAGAAGGGATAAATGCATTAAATGAAGAAGACACATTGGAATGTTTCCTCCATGCACTTCTGTGCGATGATGTACAGGCCATGTATGCAGATATTCCCTTCAAGACCAACAACAAAAATCTCCCCTCGACTGATGAAACCGATTCACCAGAGGACACACTGAAGATAGAACAGATCAGGGATTTGCCAATTGGAGACAGAAAACAGTACATCAAACACTGGGTGATGCGAACGGCAGGAACAATTCTGATGGACCCCAATACGATGGATGAAAACCGACCTTTGAGTGATTTGGGTTTTGACTCTCTGAATATGATGTCATTCATCCGCAAAGTAAAGGACCAATTCCAAGTTTCCCTTACTCCCGCAGTGCTGATGAGCAGTGATCAAAAACCAACTACATTTGCCGACCTCATTGAAAGATTTATTGGAGTTGGATTTCAACGGCATAGTCCACATTCTCCTGACAGGCGCATCCAAAAGCCTGCCTTCACACACAGATATATGTTAAATAGTCAGGGATCAAAAGAAGACCTCGGAAACCACATAATTGTGAAAATCAGGTTACCAGAACAGAGTCGTGCTGGCGACGTAGCTCTTTGGCAAAATATTATCAGGATACTGTCAGAAGAAAACCCGACCCTCAGGATGAGATACAGAGGAAATGGTGAGCTAGAAACAGACACCATAGAGTTTCTTTTGAATGATCCTTTGGAGGTGCAGTGCATAGACGGAACGGAAGATTCAATGGAACAAAGCATAAAGGAGATTATGAGGAGCCCTTTCAACAGTTTCATAGAATCACCTTGGCGTGTTGCTTTTGTAAACACCACACCGCCAATCGTGCTATTTGTGTTTCATCACATAGCGGTGGACGTGGATTCGATGAGGATAATGTTCCAGGATCATGTCCTTCCTTATCTGCGTAATGCCTCGGCAGGCATACCTTTGACATCACATTTGGGTAAAGTCAGCGCAATACCTAGTTTAGCTGAGGCCTTAGATCGCCATCTTACCGAAGAAGAAAAGGCTAGATTAAAAGTGTTTTGGAAAAATATTCTGCCTAAAAAAGTACCGCTAGTGCAAGTCTCAACCAAAGCGTTACCTGAATGCACTTTTGGAAAGTCTCTATCTGTAACAGGGCAGATAGGAGACGATTTGATCGAGGATTTATTCAGATGGCGTGATAGCGATGAATTCACACCTTTTCAGTTCATATGTAGCATTTATCAACTTTTACTTCATGCTACATCACAAATTGGAGGATTTGTCATATCTGCCAGTGTCAACATGCGTGTTGCACTGGGAATGGAGGGGGTGATGACGAATTGTGAGAACATTCTGCCTATTCCAGTTCACTTTGAGAGCCATTCTCAAACATTCAGGGAGTTCCTGAGAACCAACAAGAACATTATTCGTGAATGCTGTGTCGAAAATGCCATTTGTCCTCCGGAGCTAATATATGATGAAATGCCCCAAGAACAAGTTGAGAACATTGGGAAACATCTCATTATCTACCACAGATCCGTGATTGAGGAAGACAATCCCCAGTTAGGAGGAGCTGTAATAGAGCATTATTTGTTAGATTTCTACAGGGAAACCAAACTTGAAGTCATCGAGGCTTATCATCCGAAGCGCATTGAACTTAAATTCCAGGGATCTTGCGATTTGCTGGACGGTGAGACGATTCATATCCTCATGAGGCGACTCATTGCACTTGTGGAAGCTACAATTAGAAACCCGGATCATACTTTAGAGACCCTAATAGAGAACGCGAGAGCATAACATTTGCCAGTTGCTCTTTACCATTATTGAAGTATGGAAATCCTTGTAAATAGTATACCAGCAATGTTGATTTTATGCAATAGATCAGTAGATGGCCAAATTTCATCTTATTTTGGTCACCAACGACAGCCTGGCACACAAAGCAGACATGTTGCTGTATGAAGCATTTTTTTCTAGAGGGCGAATAGGCATAACTTAGTATGTATTATAAGTATGTAGCAGACAGCTTGCATGATATATGTCCGTTATCCTTCAGAAAAAAACTCATGATCATTGCAATATTTAATACTTTTTATTCCTGAATTGGCGTATTTTTCGAATCACCGTGATTGTAAATAGTGGAATGTACTTTGAGTGTTGTGAGTAATTGATTGAGAGGGATAGTTACCTAAAGCATGTCTAGTCTAGGTTCTACGGCCTGTGGAACCTTTCAAGTTTGAAAATTTATAGAAATCAAAGTGCAATATTTATATCTGGATGTTAGACTGATTTGGCCGCGGAAAGCCTCTCAGGAAGACGGTTATTTAGCATTGTGCCACTATATATACATTTAAAAGATACGTTACTCTCCTTTTAAGAGTATGGTTACCATGTCTTAGATGGACCTTTTCAAAGAACCGTTAGCATAACCTCTTCAATTCATTATCCAAAATGAACATTTCAACAGTGGCGGATACAGAGAGAGGGGGGGGGGAGGGGGAGGGGGGTCAGGGGGGTCCTGACCGCCCCCTCGGTTTCTGAAAAAAATCACACTAATATTCCCCTCTTGGAATTTGAATTTTGACTAACTGATTTATAGTTCTTAACTGTACCAAATAGCACCATCTGCCCTCCAAAACAGTCCAAGGGGGCCGAGGGTTGGTTTCGTATCCGAGGCCTGTCCTTCCTGTATAATCGCCCCCGCCCTTCAAATAATCCTGGATCTGCCCCTGTTTAAATGTGCTGCAGCATTCAGAGACATATCAGCTGTCTCTGTAATGCCTCAGTAATTCAGATGAAGCATTATAGAGGCTATTGTCGGCTGTTGCAGCCAAACAAAATTAGTTTTGTAAATATTTGCTTCGATCACGTAATTAAGTCAACACTTAATTATTATGGCTGTCAACATGTCTCCGATTTTCGACTTCTATGTTATTTATCTATGTTAGACCTCAACCTGTATAGATATGAGATAAATATACTCGAGGATTAGCTGATATTTATACAACCTAAAATATGGATTGCTTGTTATGAAAAGCAATACTTGAAACATTGAAAATGTTGTTGATTGATTTGAAAGTAATGGTTACTTTGACTTTGTAATTGTTTAAGCCCCCTTTACACTGGACGGCGTCCTTTCCTCGTCCAACAGTACGACCCCGTTTGACAGTAAAAAAAAATACTTTACGTGCCGACAACTGGCCGATCATTGAGCATTCATTCTGATACCAAATCAATGCTCGTGCCTCCTTTTTACGACCACAGCGATAACAATTTCATGGTCGCAGAAAGGACGCAGAAAAGACGCCGTCCAGTGTAAAGGGGGTGTTAAGAACCATATATTTGTACAAAACGTCACAATACGAGTTATTTTGAATTCAGTTCGGTTTAAAGAGCATACATGTACGTTAATCGGTTGTGCCATTACAAAACTGAACTGTGATCACGTCATAGCAGTATACTGAACAAAAACATCATATATATCAGTATTTTATATTTTAATCGCTGCATTTATACCGACCAGATAACCTTCAGGCCAGAGTGTCCACCACCGGAGCGGGGGACGTTGGTTCGTCCCCGTCAAGGGTCATACCAGTCCTTCATAAACTGCATCTTTCGTCTCCCCGCTAGGTACTCAGCACTCAGCACAGGTTTAAGCAGGGTTAACTTTCCTGGTCTGGTCGTGAAATATAGATTTTTAGTTTGCTAGCTGTCAGCGCCTCATACGGCAGCTGGGCAGTGAGTGAGAGCGTGGACATCCACAGCCAAAAAATGACCAGGCGTCAAGTGTAAACCGCACTGAGACGCATATGTAGTGCGGTATATACGAACTAAATTTTATCTTACTGTATTTGATCCATTTCGTTCTGTGATTCTTTGTTCCGGATCTAGCGTTCTTTTTGAAACAAGGAGTAATTATATCTTAACTATATAATATTGGATTGATTGTTTTATATGACTCAGTAAGGACCAGTTGGCTTTCAGTATTGTATAGATGAGTTAAAAGCAATTTTTGTGTCTTACATAATGGAAAAAAGTAAACAGATAATTTGATAGTTTCGTTAACTATGAAGCAGCCTTGACATAACCAGACACTTGATAAAAGAAGTCAGGAGAGATGTAGACTACAGCACAGGGTTCAATAGCAAAGCAATTCTTCTGGAAGTCCTGGAAGCCAAGACTTGGAAAGGTATTTTAGAAGAAACTAACAAGTTTCTAATTCTGTTCAAAACTAATACTCGACTACCTGTATTTTGCTGTAATTTCTAGATAGGTCCCTTTTATAGTTTAAGTTTACTGACATGGTAGGTTATCATTAAAATGCCGAATTCAATAATGCATCTACCTTTTGCTGATTAAAACAATAAAAAATCTCTTGAAAGTTTATAAATTCTTAAAAGATTAAACCGTTCATTTTTCCCGTTGCTAAGCATAAGCATTAGCACCCAGGAGCGTTAATCGTAAATTTAACAGTTTTCTATTTTTTTGGTGAGATAACAATCGGTATGGGACAATATTCCATCCCCATCTTTTCACGAAATTGGCATAGGAAGCAAAAAATGTATGAATTTCAATCCTGTGCCGTGGTTTCAATATTTTTTGCTGGAGTCATGAGTCCTAATAACAATGATTCATTGAAAAAGGCATTATTTTGCCTTTTTTAGCGATAAAATCTGAACTAAGGCTTTGCTTTCCAGAAAATCGCTGGCAGGATTTTAAAGTACTCAGTGGTGTCACTACATTGGCCTTGAAACGGTGTTTGTGGGTGCTCAGGTAAAAAAATTCAGAAACCGATTTTACGATATTTACCTCAAAATCGCAATTATGACGTCATCGGTGAAATGAAATTTGTGTAAATTCAAGCAAATTTAGTCAGTGGTCACTAAAGAGTCATCTATTATCTAAAAACATGATCGCATAGACAGTTATATAAGAATATTTGTCTACCACTGACAGTACATGTACCCTAAATTGTTTAAGATAAAGTCATATATTATATTATATTATGCATTATGCTACGCCAGCGTATAACTTCGGATTGAATTGTTAATTTCAGGGTGGTGGAGTGACACTGATGTCAAGAAAATCGCAAGAAAGCGGTGACAATGAAAAATATTGTGATCTCAATTAGTGTAGGCAGACATTTAATCAATTTAATAGTGAGGGGATAAGATTATGATTTTTTATTTATGTAGGATCTAAATGAGGTGTTGATATCTGTCAAAGTAGACATATACTGTATTTCATAAATTTATATGAGAATCCTTACATTGGTCTTTTTACACACTGTAAAAACAGTGTTTAGCTCCGAGACACATTTCTAAGCGCCTGTTTTGTCTCATTTTTTCCACGCGTTTAGCACCTAAGCACGTTTAGCCTATTAACATGTTACACGCTTTGACGTGTTTGACGCCTAATAAATGTAGGGTGCATTTGTTTAACTTTAAGGTTGTAACGTTTTCAACTGTTTCAGTCACTCTCTCACACACACACGCGCGCGCGCGCGCGCGCGCGCGCGCGCGAAGTCACGGTCACCTTTAACTGCTATAGCTATCTCTATCTATAACAGGGTACCGTGAACTGTCAACATAATTGACTCACACCATAATCATTACAGCGGGACTTATTCATCCTTGTGTTAGCTGAGCTTGCGAGGAAGTTAATTGGAATATATTTCTGACAAACAAGTTAGAAAAATTCACTAGTTTACTAAAGACACGAAACAACTATCACTTTTTACTTTAAAACATTTTTTTCATATTTTGATAAAATGCGTTAAGGTATTGATGTTCATTTATTTTTTCCGGAAGTAATGAACAATAGAACATCAGGATGATGGTGGGGTATTCATTATAATGGTTTATTTAAGCTTTCATCACACGCTGGTTATTTTGGTAACGATAGTCCGAATACTTTTTAAAATCGCACCGCTCTAGTCGCCGACTAACCCAAGCCCATTTTGGAATTAACCGCTAACTGTAGTTCATACAGCATAAGACGTGTTTTGGTGATTAATAAAAAAGTTTTCAAAACATTAAATAATGTTTTTCCAGAATGTTATAAAACGCTTATAAAACTGCAAGGGCATCATTTTGCATGGAGTTAAAAACACCCATAACGTTACCATGACGTTATTCTATACCATCACCATCATGTAACCAGCTGATAACGTCGTGAAAACGTTATTTGTTATTTGGATTATTACTCAATAGGCCTATTTTAAATAATCACACGTTACTGCAAGGAAGGACACAACGCGTTCGAGCAGGCTGCTTCTCGCCTCCAACAGCCCCATATGTTTACAAGGGGAAGTGTTAAGCAAAATTGTTGAGTCTTGTAATAAACTTGTTATGGGATCGTATATATGGGATTGTGAAGCATTTTTTTCTGTGACGAGCTTGAAAAGCTAAACATGTTGTTTAGCAGCTCCACGCGTTAAGGAATTCCACACCTATAGCAGCTCCATATGTTTAGCAGCCTCACGCGCTTAGCGGAGGAAGTGCTTAGCACAATGTGCTTAGCTTGTGATAGACTTGTTATAGAATCATATGCCGGTGAAGCTAAACACATAGCTAAACGTGTAACAATGCCAACGTGTCTAGCTTTTTCTTCTGTGAAACGTTTGAAAAGCTATACGCGTTTAGCATTTACACAGATTTCTAAATGCGTATAGGTGCCTAACGTGTGTTGTATGTATTTAAATGCTAAACACTGTTTTTACAGTGCAGGGATAAGCTGTGATATACTTCATATAGAACCTTCATTCAACATACTTGATTGTAATGTGTGGTTGGATCAGGTAATACAGACTTGACATTTAATATGAAATATTTTTCCAACTGATGCTGACTGATAAAGGAAAATAAGGATTTTAAAAAACGTGTTTTAAGAACTTTTAATAATACCTTTGATGTCACTGTGACATCAGTTCTTTAATTGAATTCGCCAGTGAAGCAAACAAAAATACATTGACTGTTTTGCGTCATACGACAATCATTATGAGTTTTATTTTGGATCTCTATATTGTCCAAATTATCTGTAAAAGAGTTACATGTGCCACAAAGTATCTAGTCAAACAACGGTTGTTGTTTCACCTGACCTCATCTAGATGCTACAAGCCTCTCAAGCGACAAGGCATTCCTTGGGATAGGGTTTTAGAGTTTATCTGGAATAACATTACAGGCATGGGTCGAAATCTATCTAGTTTGGTTGAGTTTTGTTGTAAGACGTGTACCGGGGTAGGCTGTTGATTCGGTGAGTCATGTACCTTGGTGGTAATATTCCGATACATTTGGCCTGGCCTCTCTGGAGGTACATCAGTCTGGGCATAACTCTATACAATGAGGACCGTTCCGTGCGACAGTGTCTGTGTTTGCGCACAGATTAACAACTTTGTAAAACACTGCTTAACTCATTTAACGTAATGCAAAACGGACCGCTTGCTTGCAAAATTTCAAATTCTTCTAAGGAGTAGTTGCCAACAT